TCCCCACCGCCGCGTGCCCGGCCTCACCGATGTAGACCCTGCGGACGATGTCCGTGTCGTCCGAGTCGTGGAGCTCCACGACACACGGCTCTTCCTGCTCCATGCGGAGGGGCACGGGTGTCCTGCGAAGCGGCACCGAAACAGCCCGGCCGTTAATTTACCCCCCCACCGGGTGCTTCTCCCACCTCCGTGTCCCTCGAAACCAGCCCTGGACGGGCTGGGAGGACCCAAATCCGCCTCGGAATGGAATCCACCTCGGAACGGAATCCACCTCGGCCGCTTCCGAGGTTCCGGCTGCCCGTTAAGAATTTGCATCTCGTTTCCTGCTTGTCCTTGGCCACCTTCCCGCTGCCTCCGGGCGGGATCCGGCCCCTCACCTGGGCCGGGCCCTTTGCCAGCCTGCCCGGAGCTGGAAGCAGCTCGAATCCCAAATATCCCCTGGAACAGGGACAATCCCAACCCTCCGGGAGGAGGAAAAGGGGATTTAGGGACAGCCCCCCACGCCCCGGAGCCCTCCCCTGCTCCGAGGAGCCCCTGGCTCCGGGGCTCATCCAGCCTTAGGGAATGTCCTGGAATGTCCAGTTTGGCACAGACAGGGATAAGGGGCCCTTGTGGGCTGGGATCGGCCCCCAGAGGCTCCCGGATCCTGCTGGGATCTGGGAAGGGGGGGGGGAGAGCCAGCGAGCCCTGCCTGGCCCTGGGATACCTTGATCCTAGGGAAACTTCCTTTAGGGCCTTTACCTTGCCTGTCTCATTCAGCACTTGCCTTGAGAGTCTTTGGCTTAGTCAAGTCCCATCATAGTACTAGGAATACTAACCATACAGCCAAATTTCTCCTGTTCCCACCGGCAATTTTTGTTTGTAGATTGTCATTTGCTTGATTTTATGAAGTTCTGGTGAGCTGTGGGAAAAACAACATTTATGCTAAAGTGCCACTGTATTTCCTTATCTTGCATCAGCTTAAAGACATCTGAATATTTCCTGAGTTTTCACTTAGCTGTCCACTTCTCCTTTCTCTGCAGAAGTACAGTATATAGGAGTCAGTAGAATATAAGTTCAGTGGTTTCTTTGTGATGCATTATATTGCACAGGTCACTAATTACTCCTGTCTAGTACTGACTAATTAGCTATGACAGGTCTGTCAAAGGCTCTGCAGTAATTGTTCATGTCTAGAGAGGAGGCTAAAAGAGGTATGAAGAAAGAAAGCAGGAAAAGTTAGAAATGGGAGTACTCCAGAGAAGAATGTCAAAAAGAATCCAAGAAATGGAATCTGTAAAACATGAATTATTTCGCTCAGTTGTGCGCTGAATTGTAAAAATGTGGACAAGTGAGCTTGTTCTTCCATTTAGGGCAGAGAAGTTCAGGGAAAAACAACCTATAATACATGAAGTTTTGTCACTTTTGAAGCACAATCCTAGCCTCCTCAAACACTGAGTAATCATGTAGAGGCTAAATTCAAGCTCAGATACTCAATGAGTTGGAGACAAGACCAATCAACAGTGGAATAAAAACAGACATCTCTCAAGGCAACCAACTTCCAGCAGGGGTAACTGGTGGATTTGCCCTGGTTCCCATAGTCACGCAGACTTGGACAGGTTGGTTACCTCTTTGTTTTTCACTGAGAGAGTTTAGGAATTACGTCCCTTTGTCCTCGTCCTGGCTGACACACGGCCTGGGATCAAATCCTCCTAGTCAACATTGCTCCTCATCTCTCTCTTTAAGACAGTCTCCCTAAATCTGCAAAAGGTGCCACTGGTGCCTGGCCCCTGCAGGAAAACTGTCTTCTCAATCACCTGGCGCTAACTAAACCTCCTGCTTTCCATGGTCACCTCTTCTGCTTCCAAAAAGCAGCACCCTCCACAACCCACTGAAGACCCATTTCCCACCACAGTTTTCATGAACCACATCCCGGCCGCGAGGCAGCGCTGACGGGGGAGGCTGGGAACAGGAAGGTCCCAGCGTCATCCCATTCCCCCGGCCGTGCTGCCGGCTCGCAGGGAGCCGGATGCTTTTCCGCTGGGCTCTTTGCAAGCGGAGAGGTGGGAAAAGCCGGGGTGGGGAGGGTCGTTCCTGGCCTTATCGCATCCCATTGGGACCCCCAAATTCCCCTGGATGGAGCTCAGGGACATGGAAAAAAAGGGGGAGCGATCCTGCTCATTGCGGCAATGGGAATTCCGGCTTTGGGGGGCTGGGAAATCTCCCGAGTGGGTTGAAATGCTGGAAGGCGGAATTTGGGGATGGAATGGGGGAAAATAACGGGCCCAAAGCCAGCACGGAGCCCCCCCAGCCGCCTGGTTTTGTTTAACGGTTCCGCGTGCCGGGATCGGCTCCCCGCGCGGATCCTGCTTGTGGATTATGCAAGCGTGCGGCTCCGCGTGCCCCGGGGCGCCGGGCAGGGCGCGTGCCGCCCAACCGCGCTATTAGCCCTCCGAGAAGCCACCGCGCCGGGAAAAAAACACTTTTTATTGAGTTATTTGGCCAAAAAAACCCCCCCGCCGAGGGCAAAACGTCCCCGCGCGGCCGCGGTGCCGTCGCGGCGCGTGCAGCACCCGGTGCCGCCGCAGCTGCGCCGGTGCCGAAAGGCCTCTCCGCAGAGGCCGCATCCGTGCGGCTTTTTGGGCCGGG